GGGGGGGGGGGGGGGGGGGGGGTCTTCGACCTGAAAAATCAGGGGTTAGGATTTGCACCCGGTCGAAAGAAACCTTGCTATCGCAAGAGTAACTCCAGCTAGCTTCGCTAGCTTTCGTGATGAAGAATCCCTCAAATTTCTTTTGACTACCGAGCACCAAACCCCCTGGTGAAGCATCTCCATCTTGCGCCAAGGGTCCATCTCCCTGAGTTCTGACCGTCTCCTTGCAATCTCGTTCCAGTTCTGCATGTGGATACAATGAAGCAGCTTTCCGGCAAGGCTCATCTGGCGCCTAGAATACGCTTGCAGGGCCAAGCAGTTGAGCCCAACCAGTCCATACAGCTGCACAACACCACTCCAACAGCTACACTCTTTACTCCAGCCTCTCACCCGCCAGCTTGAGCTCTGCGCCAAAGGCAGTGAAACGCAGTTCAAGGCTCAGCACACGGCTTTGCTCTTGAAATCGCAGTAGCCAGCCCTTGCAGCTGTTTCAGGTTTGAGCACGTTGCCATCTCCAAAACAAAAAAACTCATGGAGATGGCAACATCTGCATGATCAGTCCTTCAAGTCATCGGCTAACTCTTCACCATGGACACCTGATTCAATTAAACCTGGGGCGGTTGACGTGGCTGATTATCATAGTATTCACAAACAACTACAACACAATCCTGATCAGAAAGCTGCAACAGGGTTTGAGTCCACGGACAAACCTAAAGCAACCTGCAACCCAAAGCAACCCTTGCCTGGGGGCAATTCAAATACCTCTTCTTGTAATAGGCAGGTGCTCAACAAAGTAGTCCGCCCAGGTTCTCTCAGCTGCTCAGCTTGCACGAGCAGGTCCTGGCTGCGGAGAGAATTTGCCCCAGTAAGCACCGAAAGGGCTGATACATGTTTATATAACTGTTCTTTGTCAACTTCGCTGTGCTAGGCAATGCTAATGAGACAAAACAAGTCTTCAAACTTCAAAGCTGTTTTCCAGCTTCTCCAAGCATCATCCTGGCGCCCTCTACCCAGAAAGGATACTAAAAAGTAAGGTCCGCGAGCCATTCGCACAGCACCCGAAAGAATACATGGCTTCGGATGTGTTACCTGTACCTTGGTGGTTAGAGGTGGTCAGCAAAAACAGGATGGAGTCAATTCAAACCTTTTAAAACAGAAATAATACTCGAAACATTCTCTCAAAATTCTGGAGTTTCTTTCGTTCAATCATGTGTTCTTATTACTAGTTGCTGACTTACTAGCATAGTTTGCTAATTTGGGTTGCTGCATGATTGCTGCTTTCTCTTCTGCTTCAACTTACAGTATATAAATCAATAAATAGTATCTGTCGGGATAGCCCAATACCAGAAAGATCCAAAAGCAAAAATTAGCTGATCAGAAATCACAATAGACCAACAACGGCTCAGCAAGTTTAACAAGCAAAAAGAGCGAAGCCGAGCGGCCTCGACGAGATCATTCAGCTTCGGAATGAACGGCTCTGACGGATTATCACTAGGTGGCGGAGGCATCCTGACCTTGACAGCAATGTGTGAACATTAGGAACAAGGGCATCGCTACTAGTAACAAAGGGCATCGCTACTAGGAACAAGGACACTACTAGTAGCTTCTGGCCTTACTACTAGGAACAGGAAGCAATGAATAAACATTCAAAGTTCCAATAGGAAAACTATCGTAGAACGATTACACAGCACTATACCACTCTATTGTTGTGCCAAATATATTGCAATTATAAAACATATCAGAATAAAGAAGCTACCAGCCCTCGTGCCTGGTTCATGGCTATCTCTTTTTCAGCACTCTCCACTTGCCTGAAGGTCCATAGCGATGGCTGACAAGCGTCGTGCTGTCTGCAGAAACCAAGAAATCGGCACGACGACCCATCCCGGTCGAGATAGGTGAAGCAATGTGGCCACATGCCACACGTCAGGCTCCAGGAGCACTTCCACGGGGCTCCCAAAAATGTGTCCTCTCGGATTGCTTGTAAGACATCTTCATGTGACTGCTTAACTCCTAGTGAGCAACAGGTGGCTTTGTGTCATGCTAAACACATGTGCGGCTGCCTTCAATCTGCGAAAAAAACAAAAAAAACACTCATGCTGGGGTCTATCCTTTCTGCTGAAGTCTGTGAGGGTCACCATCGCCATGGCTCATCGATCCGAATCAATACGAATCAATACTATATATTTTAAGGCTGAAGGAATCTTTGCCCTCCATGTGCTGATATGATATGATAGCGACATGTGGTCAAACCGTGCTTTGCTGTGGTTAAGGTGTCAACTGTCTGATATATCCAAGATGGACTGCGATGGCAAGGACAAAAGGCTCCTGGATTTGCAATGGGCAGAACACATGGCAATTCTCCTTGAAGGTCGCACTTCCACAACCTACTAGGAACAAGTGCATCGCTAGTAGTAACAAGTGCCTTACTAGTAGTAACAAGAAGCTAGTAGAAACAATAAGCTAATAGCTTCTTGCTCCTGGTAGCGTGGCACTTGTTACTACTAGTAAGGCACTTGTTCCTAGTAGCTTCTTGTTACTAGTAGTAAGGCACTTGTTTCTAATAGCGCCTTGAAGGTCGCACTTCCACAACACGTCCCGGCGAAATCTAACATTCATAGTCATCAATGCATCTCTGGTGAAAGGAAGCACATATTTCTGGGCAAGCAACACTATCACGAGCTGCACCTTTGGTGACTTCCGTGAAAGGTACACGTTCGAAAGGTAAGTACACCCAAAAACAGCAAACCAAAATTCTATCCATGGTTCTCACGATGTCTTTCCTAGTCCACATTGCTAGTCAAATTTGGGGAGAAGCGCTGCGTGAAGCATGTCTGATCCAAAGTCTATATGGTTCTATAACATTCTATAACTATATACATATTAAATTATAACTGCATGCGTATCATCAAATCATTCACCATATTGTTCGGCTTGAAGGCCCCTCAAACGTGTGACAAGCATCGCTTTCCTGTGTTCAGCTGAATCACGTGCGAGAGCGCCTCACACAAATTGGCATTCTCAACAAAGGACAATCAAACAATGCAAGTAGAAACGTAATTCAGCCATTAATTAGGATCCTTTCACAGGGGTGTCGCTGCTCCTTGCTCATCAGCAACAGTAACAGGCACTCACTCTTAAAGAATACACCCTCAAATGATGCAATGAAACTTTCCGACTTGACATGTATCATCATTGTGCTTACGCCTCGCCAGCAGTCTGCAGAGTATCTGTTGTCGATCCGTCCGAGTTTCTCATGAGCAAGTTGCCGGTCTGCAAATGTCAAGCGCAGTGTGACATTGACCCACAACACTGGCTTGCTTAGATTACCACATGCTTGGCCTCTGAACGCCTTGCCTTCAAGGTCAGAAAGTTGGCGATAGCTTTCTCCTGGTCAACTCTGGGAATATTTCATGCATGCAAATGTGTGCAGTCACGAAGCTGAGACTCAAACCACTGTGGCTGAAGTACCATAGTCCATTTCAAATGAAGCAGACGCGCCTGCCAGTCGTGCTTTCCGAAACATTGAAAAAGATTGAACAAGCACTGTCTAAGAATGCTGCCTGAATCCAAAATCATCTGGGTTTTCTGGACGAAGTTGACTTTGTCCATGTTGAGAAGCTCCAAGTGAAGAGCTGAGCGGCCGCAAGCTGGTTAATGTTGCAATTAGATGTCACCACAACATTCTTCTGCCATATGTCTTGCAGAACATATTGTCTAGGGTCTTACAGAACTTCCTCAAAGTTGAGGGTCAGGCCACTGAAGCCAAAACCGACATGGCACTCGGCCGAAACCTGGATGCAAAGATCCGTGCTTCAATACATCCATGGAGTGCCTGTACTACACCGCGCCCGTCCCATCAAACACAGATGCCTTGAGAGTGAAGTGAAGTGTCTTGTCACAGCACATGTAGTCCTTGAGCCACTCCTGACCCAGTGGCGCTACGGAAGTGTGCTGTGTGTCTGAGTCTGAAGTCTGAAATACACTATGTTCGCATCACAAGTTCCTCACATGTTGGTAAAGATTGCTTCCTAAAAGATTGCTTCCCATTTCGCCTTGCCGTTTACGATGACTTTCATGTAGACATGCAAATCTGTGAACATTGCAGAGAGGGTGATGAACCACGGCCTCAGGAGAAGCACTAGAAGCACTGACCACCTTAGGCCTCACCTTGAAAGCTTTGCTGAAACTCGTGCCATTCGGTCATTCTGCTTGTGCAGGCTTGAACCACTGAGCATCACTGAGCACTGACCCTTGTTGAACCATTCTCAAGTGCTGCACTGGACAGGAGCCGACATGTCAGCCGGAGGGGTAACCTTGACAAGACTGGTCCATCGGGAGATGACAAACAGGGCTCAGAATGCTAAGCTTGCAGCCACCATATCTGCTATCTCCATGGATCTCAAACCGGTTGCCCAAAGAACAGTGATGTCGGTACCCTTGGCTCATCTTCAACTAGTTGGGAATTACTTGGAACAGCAGGTTGGACAAATCTGGATACATTTGGGGCAGCTGCGACAGCTCCTCGATCCGAGCTCATGTGTGCCAGGGGTGCGTCACCTTGGCAACTCCTGCAGACCAATCTGATCCAAATCTGACCTTCACTCTGGGACTTTTGGGAAGGCAATATCAAATTGATTTGTATCTTTCGGATCTTGAAAAACTCCTGTGAATCTCGGAGAGCGGGCTGGAGAACAGAACTTCTCCTTTCAGTGTCCGGTAGTCCCAAAGCGCCTGCCCAGCACCGTCATCATCGCGTGTTGTTTCTTGAGTCGTCCATGCCTCGCAGTCTCCCGCACTGTCCTTGATGTTTTTGTGAAGCTGTCGATTCACATCCTGACATGGTCTTCGTAATGATGGAAGTCTCTCTTGCAACCTACAGCTCACATATGTTCAAATCCTCCCTCAATGGACTGCCCTAGGCGCTCACTTCAGTGAGGGAAAATGCAAGGTAGTGGAGGCATCTAACCAGTCGCATTTCAGTGTAGCAACACTGGGCTCAAGTCTCTGATCTGGAGAATGGGCTGATGGAGAATCAGCCCAGAGTGGCAGCACATGTGCTCTGAAAGCTCAATTCTCTCTATATATTAATATATACACCAAGCTGACTGAACTGATAACCATCGGGCATGTCAGTCGTTTCTGCAAAGACTCTCCAGTTGTTTAGAAAGAGTTGCCTGCATTTAGTAGGTGCAGTGGTTGGCCACTAGTGCCCAGGATTTAGTAATAGTTCCCAGCATTTAGGAAGTAGTTCCCAGGTTTCAGCAAAGTTCCCAGGATGTATTTCCCAGGATTTAGCAAGTAGTTCCTACTGTTTGGAACATAGTTTCCAAGATTTACAGAAGGCCTCCAACATACAGTGTAGAGGCCAATGCAGGTTCCAAATCATGCCAATTGTATTTACTAATTAACAGCAGTGTCAGCGTCCATGTTCAATGTTCTTCCAACGCACAGTCTTCTGAAAACGTTCACAAGAACAGCATGGAGCGCAGGGAGGAGCTTCGATAGCGCACCTGATGCACCCGGTGAAATGCATAGGTTTTTTGAACAAGCTAGTGCACAACAGCCTGCTGATACGCTTCTGACTTCCAATATTTTAATGTGGCAAATCTAAAGCAATACTTCCATCTACCACATCATTGCCAAGGTACTGTTCACATCATCCACGGTCGACAGTGTGGGTGGTCGTACAGGGCCATGACTGTCAAGGGTGCTAGATGATGCCGGATGCAACTCTGTGTCTAAAAGGCCAATGCCTGTACAGTAAAGAGGCCCAAAATGCCATGCATGCCATAGGTCCCAAACCTGATTCTCATTTCTATGCGACAGTGGCCCAAGCGCTGAAGATTCTGTGTCTGAGGCTCACACCCCAAATGAAAAATCCGCCTGGAAGTTGCGGTACGCTGCCTGCGGATACTCAGCCACTCACAGCTTCCAAGCGCTGAGCAAGGACGCTACTAGGGGCTCCTGGCCTTACTACTAGGAACAAGAAGCTACTAGGAGCAAGGGCATCGCTACTAGGAGCAAGGACGCTTTTAGGGGCTCCTGGCATCGCAACTAGTAGCAAGAAGACTGAGGAGGTCACTGTACTTGGGAAGGTGCTTCGGGCGTGTGACTGCCTTCGCATAAGCAATCAGGCCGTACCTCAGAATTTGCGAAAGGCCGGATGACACTTGCCTCATTACACAAATTTCATCAAGCTCCAAAGCAGGAATAGCAATGTTAAAAACAAAAACACTTCAAAGGTATTTGTCTCAATAAGTCATAACAGGACTTATAGTCTGTTCATGTCTGGACCATATTGGCTTCAATATAAACTTTGTCAAGGAGGTTGGATGTCCAAACTCTTTTGCTCCATCACGAAGCTGCCCATCATTCAGGCAGTCCATTCGGACAAAACTCAGTTAGTCTTTTTCAGACAGAGTTAGACTCGGCAAGAGTCTTTGCAGTTATTCTCAGCAAAGCAGGATACTTCCTCAGATGTGGCCCATGGCTGTTTTGGTTCTGAGAAGCAACAAATGCGCGTATTGCAGGCGCCTGGCGCCTGCTGCTCGTCAAAAAGAGGCAATATATAGATTCTTGTTGTGCTTCCCCTCTAAAAGGAGCCATTCTTGAAGCTAAAATCAAGCACATTCATAAGATATCCAGGGCGCATGCAACGCATCATCGGCTGGTTTCCAGAAACGATGGAAAAGCAGCGGAGCATGCACTCCTCCTGTGTGCTCAAGCACTGGGTCACACACGCAGAGGCACACATGAAACGTTTTGCAAGTACTGCAGAAAACCATGGCACAGGCACAGGCGCGCGTTTGGCAGTCCATGAGAGCGTTCAACTTTCAATGACTCAAGAATCACATACTGTATTCCAAAAGTGCTACGAGTACCAGCTCTGGGTTTTTGTTTTGTCCCACTTCTACCTTTGATTGAGGCTTAATGTTTTGGCTACTGAATTTCAGTGAAGAAAGAAAAAGTCAGCTGACCCACTTTGGAGAACATCTCTTCTGGGAGCCTCCCAGTATGATGCAACCTTGCGAGCTTGAATGTAGTGTTGCTGGTTAACACCACTTGCCCTCCGGAATCTTCGGTCCCGATTCCTGGCCTCGCACTGCCAAAGCTTGGATGTCAGCCCCTTGTCCCTGCCAAGTTGAGCCTGCGTCAAGTGCAGAGTTTCAAATTGACACTACAATGGCTGAGGGCATCCTGAAGCTGGTCTTCACAAGCCGATACAGTACTTCTTGAGCTGTTTACTTGCATGAGATAGGCCAAGCAACAAAATTTCTGTATCTGACCACTGAGAAGCTCGTCCTTGAAGGAGCCATGAATTAAGTTTGCATGCAACAACATCACAGAACGAGGAACAGCATGATGATATCTGCAGCGAATGCAGGCTAAGAACCCTGGTCCTCTCCATAAACCACCATAATTGGTGGCAAATTATCAAGTGATCCGGTCACATGCAGCGGTGACACTTGCCAGTCATCATCGTGCAATGCGCCACGCGCTGTAGTAGCACAAAAATGCACCAATCTAGCTGGCCTCAGTAGGTGTAACTTGCCCCTTTTCAAAATATAATGTATATATATATATAAATGATAACTATATATAATATTTATATACTCATCTGTCATCTGACTCATCAGAAATGCTTGGATTCTGCATAGTCTTATTCGGTCGACACGAGGATTGCACTAATGAACATTATTCCTTTGCCAGTGTTGCGGAAACGCCTCTAAGTTGTACAAGAAAACAGTTCTATATTGTTCCCTTTTATGAAGAATAAGGCAAATCCAATGTGGCCTTCTGGCTGATTTTAATAGGACTTGTCAAGCCTCATCCTGGATTGAAGTGCTCCACAACACCCCAGCCTCTAGCTATTCAACAAAGTAGACTCGAGATTCATCTTTGGGGTCCGAGTGGAACATTGTTTGTGGAAAGGACACAGCAATCGAAACACTTGTGGGTTGAGAGCAGTTGGCTAAGTCAGTGTAGAATTTTGTCATGATGTTTCCATAACATGGTGTGTGGAAAAACATTGACAAAACAAGTAATTATATTTAAACACTCCCGCATAAAACCAAACATAGTATGGTTGGGACGGTTTTGTGTGACCGGGGACTTGGATACATTAGGAGTACATACATCCTCGTGGAGTATGTCTGACTGCAGTCAGAAAACACATTTTTATACAACAACTGTTCGCGATAAGTTACAGTACTTCTCATGGAGCAATACACTAGTAAAGTACTTTACCGCTGGTTTTGAATGTTTGTTCTCATTCGTCCTTCTGGAGCAAGGGAGGCGGCGCAGCAACAGCAAAAACGAAAAGCAACAGGCACTTCTGGTGCTCGCGCTGGGTTTGGGGTTTCTCTTTGGGGTTCAGTTTTGGGCATGGCTTTGAAGGGTAGTTTTCTGACACAATGTTCGTTTCTTGATTTTGTGGCTTGCCAGCACCACTTATTAAAACCTTTTGTCTCAAACCATCATGTGGTTTGTTCCCCAAATAGCTGAAAACTACAGGGGTTCTTTCTTCTCAATGACTGGGTGCATGATCGGCGTTTTGGTATACCGCTGATGCGTCTGCCCTGTCTCGCCACTTATCTGCCTGTCGTGTGATCGGCGTTTTGCTTCTCCTTACTTGTCTGTGTGTGGTCGGTGTTTTGTTTGCCACTGCTGCCTGTCTCCAAACTTGTCCCCAGTCCCCCCCAATTGTTGTTTTTCCACTTGTTTCTTTGCATGTCTCCCCGCTTCTGAGAAAACGACCAGATTTGTGAAACCATGCAGAAAGTTGTTTTGTTGGACCCTCTTTGCAAGCTCCCTTTTTTCGTGACTGTTTGATTTGTTGTTTCCGGTGCTGGTGCTTGGTTTTTGGAGTTATATAGTTGCTATCTGGGGTCTATGCTGGTGTAATGTTTCATTGTCTTGTCGTAGAAAGGAACCAAAATAGACGTTCAAGTCTTGCATGGCACGCTAAATTTGAAGATCGCCTACTTAGAACCTGAAGGCGAAATCCTTTTGTCAAGCTGCACTTAGGAGCTACGTGGATGCTGTTCTTGCGGGAGGAGGTTTCTCCTGCTGGCAATGATCACTTTTAAGGTTCCATATGAAGACCAAAAGCTCATCTTCAACAAACACAGCCCTTTTGAACCTAGGGAGAGGACTCGGATGCGCCATGGCAGCGAAAGAAATCCTTTTACTATACATCATGAAGCACTTCCATGTCTTGGCACGCTTGGAGAATTCGCTCTGCCTAGGTACAGCTTGCCCAATTGTCCAATCATGGGCCTCCAAATACTTACTTTCCACCTGACAGGTGATTTGGAAGAAGGAAGGACATATGTGCTGAGAGATTATCCAGACCACTTCCCTGACATACTACCTTACCTTTAGATTGGCATACGTGCTGGCATTTCATCCTAAATTTACAGTACCCTCTTGCATGGCATATGCCCCGACATTGTTGGGCCTACTATCAGACATATTTTGTGGCAATTGAATCCGGTGGCATTTGATCTGGCATATGAGTGCCGGACAAAGCCTGAGGACATACAGTAGCCTAGAATGGGTCAGCCCCCATCAGCTGTGCAAGTTTTGTGTGGGTTGGGTAAAGGATGGTAAAGGCGTCGGGCCAACCCATCGGTTGTGTAGGTTTCGTGACTACTTCAGCTTCGCAGATGTTTTTCGGATGTTCATTCATATGTCCTGACAAATTTTATAACTTGCCCATGTTTTGACATTATTTGGCACGTTGTCTGGCACACCTTCCAACATATTATCTGGCCATGTTGTGGCACACTATTTTCTGGCTAATTGCATGACGCATTTTCTGGCATGTTATCTTGCAAATTATCTTGGTCGATTCTATCTTTGGTATACATACACTGTCTGACATATTATAGTATCTGCCATGTATTGGCACGTGGTCGGATTCAGTGTGCCACATCCTGCTGCTAGAAGATCATCATCATGGCTACTGCAAAACGAGCATCGTCATGGCCGACAAGGCCGGAAGAAGGAAGGTGGAGCGCGAGGAGGAAGAGGAGGAGCGAGCAGCGTGAGACTGACATTTTATCTAGAGACCCTGTGAGACCCTCACCTGACAGGTGCAGAACAAAATTCATAGGAAGCTCGATAAAAAGGATCAAGGCTGGGAGGCTGGGATGCATATAGTCAAAGGGCTGACTGAGGGGCTCACGCATCGTTCAAGGGTTCGTTTGTAGAATAGTTGTGTTCAAGGGCAAAATCAAAGCATGCCGAGGAGCAGGTAGTCAAGTCCCTCGTTTTCTCTGGTTGCATAACGTAGCCCATCTTCACCCAGGTCCGTCCATGGAGAAATCAAAATGCAACACCGGGGCATTGGAAGGTCAGTTTCTCGAAGCTTGCAAAGCACAGCCGATGCAATGCCTCCCCCTGCTGAATCTCCAGCTAGCAGAATCTCCGCATTTGGGTATGTCTGCAACAACTGCCGATACATTGCAATGGCATCCTCCATTGGGCACGGAACTGGATGCTCTGGTGGACGCCGGTACTCCAACACACATAAAGGTGCCTGTGCTCAAGAGACAGTGCTGCTGCAGCTTTCTATATTTTTGCTTCATGACATTTTATTTGAAGCCTAGCACATCGTGGACGAGTTGTCAAGGCCACGAAGAACATACCTTTGGCTGCAAGCCACAATCTGCGATTGTGCACGGTGCATATGCAAGACGCATCAGTGTAGTGCCCTATGTCTGAGCAATCATGTATGTTCTGAGCAACGTGACACACAGCAACTTGTGACCGTGCTAATTTTGTATGTTTTCTTTTTTTTTGTATGGTTGTTGTATGTGCAGCGCCATGAGACACATCACACCATAAAGTACCAAGACCAGAGAACTAGCTGGTCTGACATGCAAGAGGGAGGAAGGAGGACCAGGAAGGCGCAAACAAATAGTTGAGATGTGAACAAACAGGAGAGGGGAGCGCAAAAATACCACAGCCTAGGGGAGATGAGAATTGATGCGACGAAGAGGACTGAGTTGAACCAAAATGAGATAAACGTCGGTCTCTTTCTACTGGCTTGTCTCTGCCTTGTATACCCTGGCCCTAGCTCTGAACAAGATTTCCCTTGTCACTCGTCACTCTATGTCACTCTGCCAGACACTGGCAACACACCCGAACATATCAATTACACCAAATTAGAAGTATCGAGCCTGCAAAGTGGCAGCCAAGCTAAAGGTGATCCCACGTAGTGATGCAGGAGTGCACAGCACATAGGCTCCACCATGCAAGTAGAGTACAATCTTGTCAGGCTTCTTGGGTGCAGAATATCCCGTGGATGCTTCAGCATGTCCAAAACAGGACGGTTGAAACCATAAAGGAGCTGGCCGCGGTTGCACCCACTCAACATTCAATTCAACCTGTCAAAGGAATTCATTCCAAACTCTACATGCTTAACCATACTTAATATGGTTTATATAATATGTTTTATAATCCTTTAAGAATGTGTTTGCTGATTTCTTGACAGACATGATCAGAAGTGCGTCGTAGGGGCGGAATTTGGCATGGTGACCGCCTCCGTTGTTGCTTTCACATCTTTTCGCAGAAAGGCCCTAGGAACAGTGCGATCAGTGAATAGTCGGAGAGCTTTGACGGAGCTGGGTGCTTGATTAGCACTGCCACGCATCAGTCCGACCAAGAACCTGCCACGAGAAGCAGCAAGTTGACCTTTGGACTTGTAGAGTGCTATCTAGAACTGGATCAACTGTTTCATTGACGCTCTCCTGTATGTCAAACCTTTGGAGCTCTGGCTGCACATTGGAAGGCAATATGCATCCGGCATCGCGGCAAGGGATAAACGACTCTCTCGTCGAATTGTGCAAGTTCAATGGTGTTTAAAGTTTAACCGGTTTGTTCTGTGAAACATGTTTGTTTGTTATTATGTGGGCAGGTGCGTAGTGCGTACTAAATGTACTAAGATCTATATTATTTTGTATCTTGGATACATGATACGAAGTCCATCCCTGTGTACAACTGTGGCGTAAGCCAATGCCCGTCTGCATACTGCACACTGCATGTTCCAGTGAGCCCATGAAACCATGTTCGTCTCCCCTGCTCTGGAGACATGCATTTTGCGAATCCAAGGGCCGCGCATTCCCACACCTCGTCTGCGACAGTACTTTAAATCTTTGAATTCATTGAATATCAGGTAACTTCTCAACGCTGGGGCCGAAGCCTAGACAGAGTATGGCAACCTAGGCTTGGCAAGAACACTGCTGCCTCACAAGTCCAGTCTGGCAGCTAAAATCCAGACTTGACATTGTGCCTCCAAGTCGCAATACCGGTCGGTGTTTCTGGAAATGTTGCACAAACTTCTGTGGTTGCCTTGCCAATGGCTCAGTGTTCAAATTAATTAAGCCTTACCCGGTTCCATCACACACAGCGAGTCCAGCCAAAACCACTGATGCTCAAGTATGCCAACAAAGGAAGCCGTCCTTATTCCTGGCAGTTACCATGTAGTACACCTTGCACCGGAGAGATTCTCGTCAACACTTGGAGACTCTTCTCGTCTGGGGATGTAACGAGACAAAGGGAGGCGGACCAAATATGGCACAATACCTTGAGCTGCATTGCACGATCGCATTTGGCACTACGTTCAGCCAATCACATCACCCTGAAACATGGCACTTGATCAGGAGGCGGTCTGCAAGACTACTGAGGCTTCAACCCATGGCCGTACGATTGGTTCAAGGTATCGTGCCCAGCGCACAAAATCACTGGCGCACGGGCGATTGTCAAAGTACATCGCAGGTGATGTCTCACAGGAAGGACAAATGCAGTGCCTTTTCTCGTTGACGGAGTCGTTGATCATGCGTATCGCAAAGAGTGTGAGCCAAAGGCCAGGTAGGAGAACCTACGGTGACGCTTGACACTTTTTTGTGCAAATTGCGTACCGCGAAGAAATCCGGCCCACCATAGTCGTCATGGCAAAAAGCATCAAGAACCTCACCAAGGTGCCCACGTAATTGCAGTGAGTTTAAGGGCGTTTTTGTTTTAGGGGGGTTAGGCCGCTAGAGGTAGCTCGTAGAAGCTAGGGAGTCGCTAGTAGCTTGAGCAAGCTACTAGGTACAGGACGCTACTACATATGGACGCAGGATAGCTCGCGCTCGCACTCATGATTTGGTTTCTTGATTTTTAGGTATTCTTAAGTTTCTTCTTCCGTCTTCTTTGGCGGCACTGCGATGCAAGTGGCACACCCGCCTGCTGACTGAACCAATGCTGAACCATAAATCAATGACCGACGGATTGATTCCATGGATTGCCAAGCCTGCCACGCAAGTGACGAGTATCTAGGACAAGACACAATCAATCTGAGATCAGTTTTGATCAGCATGCCAACTGAAATTACAACTCTCAGTCTCTGGACATTTTTCGCACTTGGTTCAACTGGCTGCAAGAACGAAGCTGCGTTCGTTCTGTGACCACATCAAGCTAAGCCCAGGTAGGTGCATTGGCTTGCTTTTGAACAGGCGGAAATTGCCCAAGACAAAGCATTGAAAGACTTTGGGTGACAGGTAGGACTCTCTTGACAACATCCAATCACACCTGTGAACTCTTGCACCAAAAGGGTTTTGGCATATGGGCAAACTACTGCCCCTCCAAGGTCTCTTGGTATGAGTATCTCTTCCTGCGACCATCTTTTCCAAGCGCTTGCATGATGAGCTTCCGGGCCTTGCAAACCGTGAGGCCATGAGAGAAAATCAATTTATGTCAAGGCCAGGCCATAAAGAGACAAACCCATGACTGGGACAGTTTTTGTGTTTTTCACAGGTTGGATGGAGGCCATCGCTATTAGGTTGGAGGCATCGCTATTAGGTTGGAGGCCATCGCTACTAGTATATAGCAAAAAACTATGTTTTCCTATGTTTTCCTTATGACGTATGACTTCGTATGACACCTTCGAGGCTTTGGAACCAAGACGCAGCGTCGCCCCCCGAAGCCCTTGAAGCGAGATCCATCATCCATATCAGCAGCATTAACAACCTCCAACTGTGCCGCAACTCTCACAGCTGTGAAAATCGATGCCCCAAACTGAAGGACCATACTAATATATACTACCTGAGCAGGGAGGGGACGAAAACCAGCCACCCCAACAGATATCAATATGGTCATGGGGGGGTGAATGCGAGATCCCTGGTGAGCTCCCCACCTCTTTTCCTATCACGTCCTCCCCCGCTATGCCTATCTTGCACATGAACTCCCACTCCATATCAGGTGCCCATTCGAGTCTGGCTACTAGGCCTCTTCATCGTCAAAAAGGGCACCCCCAAGCAATTCAAAGCTTGCCCGCTACCGCATCATTACATGAACTCACACCCCACATGGGGTGCCCCATTGTGTATGGTCGACAGGCGTCTTCACCATAAAAAAGGGCACCCCCAAGCAACTCCAAGAATTCTTGCAAACCCTCTTTTCCTACCACGTCCTCCTCCGCTTGTCTTCCACCTTTCCCACAGCATTCTGTTCCCTCCTGACACACCTCCCTTTCACCCCTGGTCGAACACTTTTCGCGTCCGGTTGTCCACTCTTTCCTATCATCGACATGAACTCCCACCCCTGGTAGAAGACGGCTTGCATTGCTTCCTGAGCCCCTCATGATGCTAATGATGCACTATTTGCCGTCAAATAGCATCACTTGCATCACAACACCCCAAAAACCATACATGTTCACTCCCTAGTTTTTTCCGCTCTCCCCCACCAGGCTCTGGGTTCGCCCTCCCAAATTGGCCTCTGTGCTACCACCCCCCCAACACCCCCTAATACTCACTTCGCTCGCCCATCCCAACTCCAGCCTAGCCTATCGGCTGGCTTTCGTGATATATTATATATACTCGCTCAGTTTGTTCCTGGGTGTCGGGACAGCCGGTAAAAGATGACTAACTGCTCATCCGACTGAGCTCTGAACCACTGGCTGCTCAGAAATTCCAGGCAGAAGCTCTGAGGTGTGTGGAAGTAGTTCTGGGTCTGTATACCTTGACTTGATTTGGCTCGTGCTTTCGGGTTTTATATCGGCCTAATCAATGCGCCACTGCCACGGCCCTTAAAATGTCCGTTTTCCCTGCACTTGTCAATCCCTTCCCTGTCTCCCATCTTCATTGCCCCATTCAACTTCTACTTCTTTTTGCGTACCGTCTAATTACCACCATCTCTTATGGTTCAAAAATGCTAAAACCCATCTGTTGATCTCACTTTTCCTCCCCTTACTTCTTTAAGTCAAAACCAATTCATGTGTCCGTTCATTCACAAACAGGATGTCAACCGAGGTCCATTTCACTCACGTTAAAGCTCAAATCACCAGCGGCCAAAACCTGTTGTTTGCTCCACAGTTCTGGTCTTCGATGATCTCTTATCCTTTTGATATCTGACACTGTACTCTTAAAGCTACAAGCAAGCTACCCAGCAGCATTTGATGCAGGGGTAAGAGCCGAGCCCAGAGCAAGACTTTTTTTTACAAATCTAGGACAAATATGAATAGTGCCACTGCTTCTTCAAGGGAGAGCTTCCTGAAGAGGCGTGAGCTGTCCTGCGTCTTACCTAGGAGCGTCCAGTATCTAATAGCTGCTAGCTACTCTAGCTAACTCTTCTAGCGGCCTACCCCCGGGCGCCATTTAATAACCACAAAAGTAACACAAATAAGGACAGTACATCCTGCAACCTTCATAGGGTCTTCCTTGAGTTCTTTGCAGTTTGCCACAGCTCGCAGTTGATTCACAGCATGTGCAGCGCGTCCCGAATAGCGATGGCCTCTAGTAGAGGCCTTCTCCTAGGAAGCCTCTTAACGCTTAGCAACTTACCTACTTCACTGCACTTGTTACTAGTAGCGATGCACTTGTTTCTTGTTAGTCCACCTCCTCACGGCCGAATGACTCCGCTATATTGCGCTGAGGTGCTGAGCTGAAATGCAATGCGACTCTTCGACGTCCGGAAGACCCTCAATCGGGGAGGCCACCTGTGGCAACGACTGAAAACACACAACAAGGCAAATGCAAGTTGCCAAAACCAACATGTATGAACATAGAAAAGTTGAGCAAGTTGCCAAAGGCTCCGCCTCACGGTTTGCCCCGCCGCCCTGCCAGCCCTCCAGGAAGCCAAAGAGGTGACTGGACGGAAGTCTCAAGCTGTACCAAGTGCCATCTGAATCACTGAATTGTCATCACCAGGTCTAGCACCCACAAAACATAACACAGCAGCGCCTGTCTCGTACAGTCCTTGGTTCAGAGCTACATGCTTGGAGAAGAGATGAAAATACGTTCCCTGTTTGAAAATGCTTGCAGGTGACACACCTTGCACCAAAAGCTTTCCTTGATGCCCTTAATTTGGAGTACATGAGTACATGACAAGCGATTGCACTCTCGAGAGCGGCTGCTGCTGCCGTGGATCTGCTTCAGCCCTGCATGGCCCGCCTCATAGGCAGCCTGTGCCAGCTGGACTGCATGGAAAAGTGCCTAAGCTCCGGCAGCTTGAACAAACATGTGAATTTGACAACCAAGACACAGGAGAGCAACGCTGAAACGGTCCAGTTTTCGCGCCTGTTTTTGGCCCAGGGTAACAAGCGAGGACAGGCAAAAGGGTTGGAATTTAAGGATGGGACAAGTTTGTCCTGTCTAGAACCTAGAATCCTACTTTACAATTGGCTCCCTGGATGTTGGGGCCAGCACTTGCACATGACAAATGCCCAAGAGGCCAACTACAGACTCGGAGACGCTAAAAGAGCGTGAAGGCAGAGTTCCCTTCCACCCACATGCCTAAGTGCTAGTTCCTCAGATTTATTAGTGTTTTGGTCCAGGAACACTCGGCGGCTTTTGTTGTGCTGCCCAACTTCAAGAAAAAAGCTGTGCTGTGGCTATCATTGGCTATGGGCTGCCGGGTGAAAGGCATTCTGCGAATGACGCGAGATTGTCACTGCGCGATGAAATGTCTTTGACATTTGCACTGACGGCATCGCTACTAGGAGCAAGGACGCTGCTAGGGGCTCCTGGCCTTA